TATAAATTTATTGATGCGTATGTATTTAGCATACAAGATAGGATATAGGCATTTGCTTTTAGTTATAGCTCGATATGGGCATTCACACACGTTTTATGCACAGTTGCTTGTGACAGAAGCTTCGTTGAATTTGCAAATTTGATTAATTATAAGTATATATAGTATATATTTGCTAAATTATTGCACTATAGCTTGAGCTTTTGCTCCTAAATAAACTAACTACTTATTGTATAAACAAATGTGTCAAAGCATATTTATAGTTTGTATAAATAGACAATAAACATTTTCCCTATGCAAAGGCATAAACACCCACTCACGCACACACGCACACACACACACGGATACACACACACTAATCGATGGCTGTCTATAGTGGTATGTACGTGTGTGTGTGTCTGTGTCTGTGTGCGCGTGCGTATGTGTGATGTGCATACCCGCTAGCGTACAATCACAGCACACGAATAACACGATTCTCACTTAATCATAACAGAAACGAACTTAACATTTGGCGTCGTTGCATTCTCATGTCGTTTAGATGCGACTGCAGAAGTTGTAAAGCAATTGCTTATCCTCGAAATGATAAACGTTGTTAATGTGTCGCAGTACACGACCGTCGACCAGATGTCGTGCATAATGCACAGCCTCAATGCGATCCTTCGAGAGGCCCACCTCGATGAGCCAGCTAACGAATTCGCTGCCATAGAATACCTTGCGGTAAACACGAATGCGCCATCTGTCGGGGAATAGCAGCAATTGTATAAACATAGTCAAGCAATAACCCAGAGAACTCACCGTCTATCCTTGGCAATGTCCTTCTTGCAGTTCTCCAAGTGATGATTGCGAAACTGCTCGCATATCTGCTTTGTCTCCGGCCGTAGAGTGGACCAGTGAGGTAGACTGACGACATTGGCGCCATACCTAAAATGGAATTGCATCAATATACCAATACTACTTCAGTTCAATATTCAACTAAATACTAACCAGAGTTTACGCCAGAATTTGATCAGTGGCATTAGCAGCTCGCCTGTGTCGCTTATAAACACAGCGAGCACAATTAATCCCTGGCCAAAGTTGAGGAACGCATCTAGGAAACTTAGCTCCAAATAGATGCCCGACATACCCTCCATGACCAGCGTCCAAATGGACACGGCCAGGCCGACAAACATGGAGCAGAGCAGTATGATCAATAGAATGGTATGCTTCAGTGTCTGATGCTCATCGGAATCGCTCGTATGCTCCAATGGCTCCAGACCACTGCGCGTCTGCTCCTCATACCGTTCAATGATATTCTGACAGCTCTGGCGCGAGGTGCTCGGACCGCAGTTGTACGCACTGCTGCACATGTGGCTACAATAAAGGAAATGTTCAATTAACCACTCTAGCCTACAGATCAAGTCTATGCCTACGATTCTGTTGTTGGGGCACTATCAATCTTATCCAAATCCTTCATCACATTGCGCTGCCGGCTGCGATTTAGTAGATCTTCTATATCCATGACCACAGTGGATGCTGTTGTGGGCGTGGTTGCCGTCGAGGTGGAGCAACAGTTGCCATTGCCGGAGCCACAGCCACCATTCGCCCTGATCTCGGGCACAACAGTTGTGGTGATCATTTCATCATCGTCGGACGAGGAGGAATACGAAGTTGTGCGCAAGCTCTGCCGCAAGGGCGAACGATCTGCATTGGCCAACAAATTGGCCGTTGATACAGTTGAATGCAAATCGGATGCTGTAGATAATGGAGCTGATTAACTCGTTGGTAATTATGGTATTGTGATAGCAAAAGCATACCCGAATCCGGATTGGATAACTCACGCGAATAGGTCAGGTACTTTTCATAGCGCTTCTTATAACGTTGATGCAGCACGAGACAGCCCACAGTAACTGTAAAATTTGATTCAATTAGATTTATGATAGCAAAACTCTGCTGCTTATCTTAAGTTTTAGAATCAGATTGAAAACTTTGAATGCATCATTGTAAGCTTGTTTGGCAAGCTGTCATAACGCGTCAAATATGCAAATTTCTCATCAGTTTTCTATTGAACTGAAGTCGTTGAAGCTCCTACGCACCTATGAAGCACATCACGAGCAGAAAGACTGCAATAGCTGCCTGGGCATTGCCATATTGAAAGCTGGGATTCTGTTTCTCACTAGGCATGGATTTGGAATCGAAGGCGATTAGCAGACCAGAGATAAGAGCCGGCACGCCCCAAGCAAAGACGAGCTGCGCAGATATAAAGAAGTCAATGAGGGAGAGCACATTTCACTTATATTTAAACAGCTCACCATATAGGGCCACAGTTTGAGCACAAAGCACAAGCTGCGACACTGCAAGAAGAGCAGCGTTATGGCCAGTATAGCTGTCCATAAGCGCGAGCTGTAGGTGCCTATATTGAACAAAAAGAACTGCAGGTACAGAGGCCAGCGCTCCACGTGATCCAGCTTCGACCAGAGTATGACGCCAATGCAGCACATGAGCTGATAAAAGCGAAAACCAGTTGTTAAATATGTAAACTATTATTCAAGTTTAACACAGTTTGCACCTGTGAGAGCACTAGGCAAGCTGTTATGCGTTGCGGCATGCGCTTAAAGCGCTTCGTCACTATCAGCAGCGCGAGCATCCAGCAACAGGCGGCGGCGCCTGCCACGCTGATGTCAAAGGAGAAGGCATCCAGCTCGTGTAAATAGTCCAAGGGTTTTAGATTCGTCAGCGATATCATCTTGGCGGATATAAACATAAGCGGCGCCGAGATGAACGTGCACAAGACCATGCTGCGAGCGATCTATAAAATATGTAAAAATGTCAATTAAACATATAATTGTATGTATATCATTTGTTATGCTAACCAGTTCCACTTCCACATTGTATTGGGTAGCAATGACAAAGGCGCCCGGCGCCGCAGGAAAGGTGCCATAGAGAAAGCCAAAGGTGCTCAGCTCCGTGGTATCATTGAAGTTCTCGCCGGCCTGAATAATGTTCACAGTTTGGCGACAGACCAAAGGCAATACCAAACTGAAGGGGAAAAGAAGGAAAAGATATGTTAGGCATATCCAATTACTCTATTTAAGCAACAGCTTACATCTTAACCAGAATGAGCACACTTGGCAGCAGCAGACCCATGCCCATTGTCTTGCGTTCCGTTCCGGTGCCGCCGCCCAAAATCTTGAGGCCCAACAAAAACAAAGCCGTGGCCGAGAAACTCTGTCCGAACACCCGCAGCACGCTAGCCACCACTTCGGGCAGTCCTTTGGGAAAGAGGAAGCCAGCTGCCACGCCCAGCAGTGTCATCAGCAGCAAAGGATTGAAGAATAACGACTTGATGGTATTCCACACGAGTATCGTATGCTCGCCCAGGCAACGGCGCTGCTTGCTAAGCTGCTCAGCGGGACAGGTTTCCGGGCAGAGGGGCGGATTACGGCTAACCTCCTTCTTGCTGTTGATAATCTTGCTAATCTCCAAGAGAACCAAGCCAATGGGATTGAGAATGGCCAGCGAAATGGGCGCCATTAGGTACAAATACGAAGCATACTCCGGGTGGACATCTTTATAAAGAGCCATAACTAAAAGCAAGCAAAGATTAAATAGAGACTAGAGAGAGAGAGAGAGAGAGAGGGATCTTTGTCTTACCTATGGGATATCCAATGGCAAAATCGTTGCTCTGCGTGCAGAAGATGGCCATTAGACCGGCACGCGCATAGTTCAAAGGTCGCGCCACGAGCAGACAAATGACCAATACGGCAAAGAAGACAATTGCCTTCGATATGAGCATGGCCAGCAGAAAGGTCCAGTTCACGGCTCTCCAATTGAGCTCGACGAGTGAGAGAAAGATGAGCGACGGCAGGGCGAAGGTGCCCACAAATGTGGCCAATCCTTTGGTTTCCGCATTGCTGATGATCTTAAAGCGTCCCGCTATATAGCTGAGAAGAGAAAAGAGATGGGGAATAATTAGTGATTATAGCAATGATAATAAATGATGAATGGAAATTAAATAAATGTATTAATGATTATATGTTGACTGACTGGGAGATACCCTATTTCTATAGCTCTAGAATTTTTCTATACATTTATATATACGATATTTATCAAATTAAATCATGTAGAGTCAACTTATTGAATATCAGTTTAGGTGAGGAGGTATCCTAATGATCTTAAAAACATTATATACTTTAGACAAATTTTTTTTATCAGGTTCCATACAATATTTTCTGGTCTTCACATTTGTTTATCACTTAGAAAATGATATAAATTATGTATTTGTACTGAACATTGGGCTGGTATATATATTTCAAATTTCAAGAATCTTTTGTGGTTTACGAGATCAACTTAACTAACTTATGTCTCCTTGTCTGCCCGTTTGCATTTCTGCCTTTACCATATATTTCAATGAAATCAATATACCCATTTAGCTATAATCAATTAGTGTAGGGTGTAAAGAAAAGGCAATAATAAAAAGATTTAACTTTAGATTGAGCCACACCTCTTTAATAATATTAAATGTGCGTGCATTTAAATATATATATAATATATAAATAAAGTATATACGCGGAACTTTCAAACATTTACATATATAAACAAGCCAACACGCAACAACAAACTGAACAATATTAATATTATTAATAATAAAAACAAAACAAAAGGTGTAAAGACCAGTTTTGCATTTCAAAATCTTGTGAATGTTGCACTCAATTTGTTCCGCCCAACGAAAAACTCCCCAGACATATATTATATATAAACATATATAACTGGAGTACTTCCCCACACACCACAAAAAAAAACCTGAGCTACTTCGCTGACCTCAACAACAATAAAAAAATGTCTGCTTGGTGCGTGATTGCGATTTATAGCAGCTCAATAAATGATTTCCCTCATGTTGTCTGCTTGATATTTAACTAAAGTACATAAAATATATGTAATTCACCTGTCTTGTCACCTGTGTGCTGTAAGACAGAACTTTTTGCTGCTGCAATCAGCAAAGATTTGTTTAAACGAAACAAGCTTGACTGCAGTTAATCAATCAAAGGAAAGCTGTATAAATATAGATATTTAACTTTACGCTCTCCTGATTTTTTGTTAATTTTAAGAAGGAATAAAGTTTGTTAATATATAACAAACACAGATGTCGTGAAACAACGAGTGTTCTAGAAACAGGTGAAGGTAGTTTAATGAATAAATTTCCAAACGTATGCAGTGAAACCTGACTAATTGGAAAAGTTTACGTTTAACAATTTACAGTCAGTTATATATAGGAAAAATGTCTATATATGTATGTATATCCTCTATCTACTGATAACAAATATTTAAAACAAAAACAGTATACCCTATTAACCCACCCAATTAACAATGGGTATGCATAGTTGTAACTATATCTCATACATCTAACTATAATAACAACCATTTGAAATTAAATTAGCTGTTGTTCCAATTTCTAGATATGTTCTATTATCAAGTGTTCACGTTTTTGGAAGAATTCCGTTTTGCCTTTTCTATTAACAGTTGTGCCGCGTTTGTTGTTGTTGYTTGTTATTCATTGTATTTTTCGTGTGTTTGTTGTATAAACAAGTGTCAAAGCTGGCAAATGAGCTGGTAATGAATGGAAACATTCCGCTAACTTTTATAGACTTATAGAGCTTAACAAAAAGAGCTTCGCTTTTCAGATTACAATAAATACAATTGCATTCAATATTTCGGCAGAAGAGCTTGTGATATTTGCCTCTCATAGCAAGTCACGTGCCTAGTTTCTAGATAAAACAAAAGCTGACTAATGAAGAAACTATCTCAACATTTTGAATTCTTGCTCTATATATTTAGTTAAACATAGAACAGCTGTTACGTTGATAACTATTTTTAGTACGAAATGTTTCATTTGTAGGGTCACATTTAAGGCATTTCAGGTATTTCCATTGCCAGTTATTAGATGCGATTGAAATCCATGTGAACAATTAGTTAACATTGCATAATTTGATTATTAGTATTTAAACTAAGGCAATTAAAGCTCAATTATAATTTGCTGTTATGCTTCGATCTTGCAATGTTATAAAATAGAATTATAAATTATTACAATTATTGTCATTGTTGTTGTTGATCAAACAGTAGCAGCTACGACGTACCGAGCTGTTGTCTATAAGGCACTCGCGTGCATCACCTATCTATCGGCACTTAAACCCGCTTAGCATGCATCTAAGCTAGCACTTGAAACATTGTAGTGTCTGTATTATCATAGGTACAGTGGGCATACGAGTTTTCGGTAATACTATAGTGGGCATTCATATAAGGATTGATATGTAATGCATAACCATCTAAAAGTATTTTCAATTTATCAACAATTATTACTGACTTTGCATTTATTAATATTTATTATTTTTGACTATTTATTACTAATTTATTGAATCATACTTTATTATGTATTGCTTATTATTCATTCATGTTAATTACATTGTAATAAATCCATATTTTTTAAAATTTTTTTTATTTACTTAATAGCTATCTTCATTTATTAATATTTTCATTATTTACTGTCTACTATATAGTTTATATTATTTTTATTTTCATCACATAGTTACAAACATATTTGGAAATCACTTTATTTGCCTTCCTCTCTTTCTTATTGATAGCAAACGCTTTGAATTCATTAAAATAATCAGCTAAATTCAATATGAAAGCTAGTCCAAGACAAAGGCAAAAACATAAACTTACTTTCTCTTATCAGTCTCGCAAATAAGTTTATCAATTTCAAAGTATTTCTTATCTGTAAAGCCCAACTGTTAATTAGAATCAATATTATACATATGCATAGCTATATATATATATATAAATAGTTAATAAAACAGCTGGCTAGCGATAATCTATTTAAATATATATGTGGAAATAGAAAAATTATTGAAAAGTTCAACAAACAATTATTGTAGTTAAGCTAGAATAATCTATGTTCGAATACTTATCAGCTGAGCTTGTGAATAAATTCTGAATTGAATGTATCATGACAATTTAAGAACTTCTCTGCAATCGAGTTACCACTGTATGTCTATACGTATGCATACAGTTTAAGCAAATATATGCATGTATAACGTATAGGGTATATAGCCAGTATACGTAATTGCATTGTCAGTCGATTTTCGATTGCATAATTGTTAGACGATTGCATCAATCGATTTTGATCAATTTTGCTTACAGTGAATATTGCAAGGTCATTTGTAATTGTCTATATGTCCACACACACACTTATATATCCTATATAGGCATACACATTGTTTATTTATCTATCGCACTCACTAAACGTTTTACTTTCGCTTATTGTAATTTACTAATTGAACGCAAATATTTTGAAATTGCCTTTGGCAAAGCGCGAAATTTAAACTAGTATTAAAGTTTTTCTGTTGTTATTGTTGCACATTTTTAATTGTTGTTTATTTGCATATGGCTATATCTAAGATTGTATTTGAATAGTGCACGATTGGCAATTGGAAACGCTTCACGCTTCTGTGCGTCCAAAAATTTGCAACAATTTATGGCCCACTTTTCCAGTGACATTTAATTGTTCTTATAAAAAAAAAAAAAAAATAGCAAATAAATATAACTTGAATAAAATGAATGAATTAACATCTACTAAAAATACACAAATATTTATATAAATCTACACTGCAAACATTAATCAATTCAATTCGCTGATTCATTTTGGTATGCTAACTATGCACGGAAAGGGAATATTCCCACGCCTTAAGCCAACGACCCGCATGACTAAGGGGAAAATATGCGGAATAAAACGTTTAAAAAAACCCACAGAAATTATGAATTTTAATAATAATAAGGAATGTATTTACAATTAAATATTTATATTGAATTAAAAATATGCTTAAACAAGCTAATCTAATTTGTTCAATCAGCTTGAAGATTCTCTTAAAATACATGAAAGCTTTAGAAGAGCAAGGTCAAGCATTTTGGCACATATCTAATAAAGAGCACAAAACGAAAGAGAGAAAGTAAACGCTTTGAGCACATTGTCTAACGCTTACTGTCTAGAAGAGAAATACACTTTAATTGATAGTGGACGCAATAAACCTTTTCTGGATAGCCAATTAATTTAGTGTTTCTTGAGTAATTTAATGAGCAAAATATTTGTTTATATTTATTACGTTAAATAAAAGTAATATTAAAATTTGTATATCATATATAAATAATCTACTTTACCTAGCCAAAATCATTTCACCAGTAAAAATAACAATAGATTAGGACACTGTTAATGCCTCTCTTGTTGCTGTTAGTTCAAGGAAATTAAAAATTGGCATTTATATATGTATGAATCGGAACCGGTCATTGAACGAGCGCGTGACAAACCAGATCACAATATCGAACTGCACAAACTAACACGTACAACGAGACAATAACAAAAACAACAGTAGTTAACTGTTAATGTTGTGGGAAGCGCCCACGCAACATTCAGTCAAGGGTCAAGGTACACAAAGTTTTGCAAATGTCAACCAAATGTGCGTGGGTCAAGTGTATTAGCCCAACTTACCCGCATATAATAATACCAAAACATTGCACCAAAGCCGGATAGAAGTTGTCCATGGAGACGCCATCCTCAACGTGTGGCGTAGCAGTGCTGCCGCTGTCGACGTCGCTGTTGATCAAAGCAGTCTCTGTCGCGTCTACAGCGCTGTCCCTTAATGCTTTATAATACATGGAGCTATCCATAATGCTGTTGGCAACTTCGTTCACTGGCTTACAGCAGCTTGCAACATGGTTGGGTAGGCGTGGCAGCACTTTTAAACCAATTGACGCAGCGGCTGTGACGTCAATGGAACCCGCACGCTATGCGACGCCTCTGTGGCACTGGCTGTGGCTGTGCAAATATTGAATTTTCACAAAATTGAATTAACAATACTAACACAAACACACATATATATACATATATAGCATATGCGACAATTATTTTATAACGCAATTCACAGCGTTCTTGTGGGTTTATCTAGTATATATTAGATTTTTAGCACAATTTGCAGCTTTCATTTTTACGCGGTTAAAAACAGCAATTAAACGTTTCTGTCGTGCTGCACTTCTCGCATTTTCAATGCATTTTTCACTTCTCCCGCTCTCCGACAGACAAACTTCGCTTACAGAAAATAATGCTGGAAGCTGCAGCAATCCGCTTTTATAGTAAAATTGCCTCGCAATATGTTCGCTCAAACGATTCACAACGCTGAGCGAACCAATGAACTCTTTGCTCTCTTGTGGTTCATTTTAATTTGAGCGGTGCTGTGCATCTAAATCGTTTCGTTATGCATTTGCTTGCTTAAATTCAGTTATCTGACCATTTATTTACTAATGAAACCCTATTGAATATAGAATGGAATTTTAAATAGTTTAATTTGAAACTATTGTATCTCCTCTTTCAATTGAACAACAATGCCCATCTCTATCACATAACTGTTGTGTATACCTAGCGATGGCAACGAATCCCAATCGTTATTCAAAAATATACATATACATAACAAGTGGTTTCATTTGATGCTAATAACAGGTGGTTTAATTAATCATAGTTACTTATAGAGGAAGTATGCAGCATAGGTATAATTTAAGAAATCTAACGAATCATGATTATTTAAAAAAATTATATATTTTAATTCTTGTACATTGTTACTTTTCAGGGCTGACGCAAACTACCGATAAACTGTTGCATTCGATACACAAGTATCGATAGTATTATACTCAGCTGTTTATATTACGTGGGAAGAAGAAGAAAAATTAGTCATCAAACAAAATTCAACGCAAAATTGTTAAATATTCATTAAATTTTTTACAGAAGCTTACGCAGAGCACAAAATGAATCGACTTTTTGGACGTGGAAAGCCCAAGGAGCCCGGCCCAAGTCTAAATGACTGTATTAGTGGAGTAAGTAACTGTGTATCTATAAATATGAATAAAAAAAAGCCTAATCAGCATTTTCATAGGTGGACGCTCGAGCAGCCAACATTGAAGAAAAGATTGCGAAATTGGAGACGGAGCTGCGTAAATATCGTGAACAAATGAGCAAAATGCGAGAATCCCCAGCCAAGAACTCCGTTAAACAAAGAGCGCTGCGTGTGCTCAAACAAAAGAAGGCGTAAGGCGTAATAAACTATGGCCGGGTTATTTTTGTACTCATTTTTATCTGTGCTTATTTTAGCTATGAGCAACAAGCTGAATCTCTGCGCAATCAATCCTTCAATATGGAACAAGCCAACTATGCTGCCCAATCGCTCAAGGATACTCAAGCCACAGTGGCCGCCATGAAGGATGGTGTGAAGCAAATGAAGACGGAGTATAAGAAAATTAATATCGATCAAATTGAGGACATGCACGACGATATGGCGGACATGCTGGAGCAGGCTGACGAGGTGCAAGAGGCCATGGGACGCACCTATGGAATGCCCGAGGTGGACGACGATGATCTGCAGGCAGAGCTTGATGCATTGGGTGATGAAATGGCTTTGGATGATGACTCCAGCTACTTAGATGATGTTGTCAAGGCGCCCGAAGCGCCAGACAGAGAGCCAGGCGCCGATAGCGTTAAACCGGGCAAGGTAACAAAATGTCACAAAAATAGTTAAATTACATTAATACTAATGCAAGTTTGTTCTCCGTTGCAGAGCACCATTGAAACGGATGAATTTGGTCTGCCTAAGATTCCAACGTCCCTGAAGACAACATAAAAGCTGTTTTCTTATACATATATGTTCATATTAAAATTTAGAGGAAAAAAGATAAACAACCACGTTTCCATTTTCAGTTATTAATTACAAAAAATCGTTTAAGTTTATTTACACAATGCTATTATTTTTTGTATGCATTTCCGTTATGTTTTGAAAGTAAGCCTAATAAAAGGATTTGTACACCAACTCGCTCTTTTGCTGCGCTCTCTTAAGGCTGCATTTCATTTATCATGGGCGCACGCTCTCTTAAGTGCAAATAAGTCAAACAGCTCACACTTTTGCCGACTGTCTCTCTCACTCGCACTCACGCGCATACGCTCAGCGAGCGTGCTCACAAATACCAGCACAGCGACGTGCATGAAGGTAACTGAGCTTTGAAGTTCAGAGCATGAACTTGAGCGGCCGCGCGCGTGTCTCTGCCGCTGTGAATGTTTTCATATACATGTGCACATGCTTGTGGCTGTGTTTGTTGTGTGTCTCATTGCACTGCTGTGTGCAAAAATAACGCGTTCGCTTGCGTTTAGTCTTCATCTGACTGCTGTAACGGACGGTCGCAAAAATTCGAACTGAACAACACAGTCGATCACAGCAGCAGCAGCAACAGCTACAAATCTTGAAAAACCTTCGCTTATCCAAAACAAATCAAATCAAACGCAAAAACAAAGTAAAATAAAAAAAAGTCGCTATTGTAATTATAATTGCCACTCCCCCGCGGACAATCGAATCCTCGTAATGAAGTGCATCAAAATGCCTTACAAGTGAAACAACAAATCTGTATCTATCGCATATAGTGCGTGAGCGCGCGCGTGTGTGTGTGTGTGTGCGTGTGTGTGTCAAAGCTGATTCTGATACGGAATCAGCATTAGTATCTGCTGCATTCACTGCCAAAATGCCGAGCAAATTGGGAATTGGCAAAAGTCTTGTGTAATTGTATTTTGACCCACCCGCCACCCAACCACCCACCCAACAAGCAACAACAGCGGCCGCGATCCCTCACAGTGCCTAAAAGTGTTTTTGCCTTTGTTSTTGTTGCTGTTAATGTAGATTTTACATACACAAAATATACGCAATATTTACAATCGTTTCAATGCAAATATTTGCCCAGCAGCCATTTTCTGCTGCGAAGTAAAGTGCAACTGTTTTTAATCAAACTACAAACTGATGCAACGGTAAACATAATGGATATACGCCAAATTGGATTACTATTATTGCAAATGGTAAGTAATTGAAGACATTGCGCATACGCAGCGTGCAACGATCTAGAATATACTTAACTAATCGAAAACAGAGTTGCATTATCGATAAATAGCTAGAGTTAAAGTCGAGTAGGAGACAGAGAGTAGCAAAGAGTGAGAGATGGAGAAGGCAGGAGATTTGGGGGTGGCTTTTGTGAACAAGTGCAAAAATGCAGGAAGCAAATCGCAATAGACAAACGCAAAAAAAGCTTTCTATGCTCACATTTCGTCATCGCATCTGTGAGTTTGTATATGTGTGTGCATGAAAGTTCAGGAAAAAATATCAGCAAATGCTAATTGATATATGTATGTGTGCATGTGTATAGTTACATACATATGCACATTAAAATGCAACGGTGAACGGAATGAGTCAACTAATATAAAGAAAAAGAAGGAGAATTAGCCTGGGATATTATTAACAAATATCCCTCTCACTCACTCATGTGGGCAATTACTTGAAAGGAAATTTAGCAAACAGGGAGGAAATTTTAAATTTCAGAATAGGAAATTTAAATGGAGGTTATTTCATAAAAACGAAAGTAATTTCGTTAATGCTCAGTTCTAGCCATTATTTTAACGATGATTCATTGCTTTTTTGTCGAATATCGAAAAATTTTGCAATCTGTTAACGTACATATGGACTATATTCTGCTGCTTCTTCCAATTCTTTATTTTCGACTACTGTTCAATTTGAACGTTTCTTTGCAACTGCTCGAATTACAGCGTTGGTCTTGGAGTCACAGCAAGAGCAATGTCCCACTTTTTCGGCTTCGAATATTACAATTTACCAATAATTAAAATTCGAGACAAAAGAAGCACTATAAAAAAAATCTGCTAGCAACAGCGTAAATATTTTGGTAGTTTTAGTTTTTTTTTATTTATTTATTTATTTTGTTTTTATGCTTATATCGATTAAGTTTTGTTTTTGGCCAATAAATATTGGCTATGCAAATGATGGGTGCGACCTTCGACACAGAAAGAAAGAGCTAATTAATTAAGTTATCGGTTTGATTATCAATCAAGCAGCTGAGACTTAGATATAACAAAATCGAATTTTTATAACTGCGATACATATACAATATGTATTTGTGATCTAGGCAATAGTAAGGAAATTGTTGTAATCTTGACTACTATCTCATGCTGGCCATGAATTGTAAACGCTACTTGTTTCTACTAAAATTATTCTATTTACAGCTGTCACTTATATTTAATAGTGGCATTATATTTATTTTACTAATTTTTAATTTAAATTGTCCATCTAGATTTATACAACTAATCTACCATATCTAATTCTCATACCATCTTCACCCAGCTCCCCTTAAAATTCTTACATTACTCGTGTGCCGCCCAATCACATTCTACACACATGTCAAAGAATTCACCACGAAAAAGGAATTGACGAAAAAAAGCACTGACCAACCTCACAATCGATGCGAACATTTATTTGCCCGCCTTCCCCAAGCAGAAAAAGTAAAATCCATCAAAAATTGAAATGAGACTTGGCAAAGGGCACTGTGAGAGCTTTTTTCGCCGTTTGTTTTGATTGTAACGATTGCCACTAGCCGATAAGGGTCGACTGCTTGTCCTGTTTCAACTTAAATTCTGCTGCTCTTCCACTCTCCCGCTCTGACCTCTCTTTAATCAATTAGCGCCTTAGCCTATGGCTGCTTTTGATTTCGGTTTTAGTTTCGTTGCTCTTCTAATGCTCTAGCATAAGAGAGAGCGAGTGTGATCTAAACGTTTACAAAGGCAATGAACGCGAGCGCGCATTTTGCGTTGCCTTTGTGTGCGCCTGTGTATGTGTGTGTGTGTGTGTTCGCAAACACGCTGCTGTAAAGCTTTTGGCGTTTTCTTCCGATAACGGGCACACACACAGACATACCACTACGTCTGTATGTGTGCCTCGCGTCAGTTCGCGTCAGTTTTTCCTCCCCGGTGTCGCATGACCCTGGCCTGCTATTGAAGCTAGACACATTCGGAGGCCAATATAAAGCGCAACCATTCAAAATATATACTAAGCGCATGTTGCCGCCGATGTCGGCAGCAAATGCACATGTGCATACACGCACACAAATACACTTGAGCATGTGTGTGTGCCTGTTAGTGCATAGTGCAAAACCTTTTTGCAGTTGTAATTGTGCGAGCATTCGATACTTTTCTTATTATTGCATGTTGTTATTGTTGTTTTTGTTTTTGCTATGTCTATGTATGAGCTGAGGGCGGCGATACATTCATTGCAGCAATTGGAAAGCTGGAAGCAAGTGCAAGTGCAAGTGCGTTTGCACATGTACTAAAAGCTAAGTACAGGGAAATATTGCTAAAGAGAATTGCGAGAGATTTGTTTGCTATATTGATTGAAGGACGAAAAGGAAAATACGAGAAGAAATAGAAAAATTCAGTTTGTTTTCTATAGATCTTGATTGAAGGACAAGAAGGAAAATACTAGAAAAATTCCTATAATTAGTTTAAAATGACTGTATGCCATAGATCTTGATTGAATGATAAAAAAGAAAATACCAGACAAGTAGAAATTAGTTAGCAAAATGGGGAAAAAAAGTTTAGGGAAAATCGAAATATTAGGAACTTTTAAGACAGCATCAGAAGATTATTGAAATGAACTCAAATAGAGCTGAATAACAAAAGCCTACAAAAATAGGGGGAACTTTTCGTTAGGCGACCTTTCACTGTGTATGAAATCAAATATCAAAATGGAATTGAAATATGCATAGTTATTTACGCATGTGCAGATTTTATGAATTTTTATTGATGTTGGCTATTAGTGATAATTCCCCTTTTGTTTAAAAATGAAAACCCGTTTCGGATAAGAAGAAACAGACAAACATCGAAAGAGAAACAGAATTTGCAGGGTCTCGAATTTTTTGATATAAGTATATATTTTAGCTGAAGTGAAACATGTATTTCTGTTGGTCATTGATAATCGTAGAATCGTAGAGATAATGGCACTCGAGAGGTAATTCCTCAGGCAAATAGCCACAGCTGTTTGTTACCCTGTCTAAAGCACACAACGCTGCGTATACTTGATAAAGGGCAACCTTACAAATTATTACGCATACGCAACGTGTGTAGAAGCGTGTTAGAAGCCAGCGGCCTTCAGAGCTTCAGGCAGATGTATACGAAAACTAGTTCTAAAATTAATGAATATGTATTATATACTACACATATGTATGTATGTGTATATGTAGGTAAGTTATTAAAAGTCATAGCAGACGCATCAAGTTAAAGTCGTTGAGAGTCACGTTTTTGGTTTTGTTGTAGGTCTGCGACCGTTAATTTTTCCATTTACAACGTTCTCTCATATGTTGTGTTTATTTTGTTTGCTGCTAAAAGGTTCACGTCCAACAACAAAATTATGAGAGGAAAAACAGAGAAGCACATACTGCTAACTCAACGTAAAACTGCGAATCGCTTTTCAATTTTGATATCGTTTCGGTTTTCGTTTCTTTTTTTTTTTTTTTTGAAGCTGCTGCCCCCACTGTACAACAACAAAAGCAACAACACAGGCAACTCAACTCCACATTCGGCACATTGAGGTTCAAGGTAGTAACGAAACGGCGCTCGACAAGGCCAAGTGCAAACCGTGGCGTGTCTCAAGCTCTCGGCTGTTGATTATGCATGCTTTAGACACACACATGAAAATGTGCACAGATATATAACTGAATAATTATTTTTATATACACATAAATAAATATGTATTTAGGCCCATAAAAGACAACAAGTGGCATAGCACGTGCTTTAATACTTTACATAGCAGCCCAAAATAGACAGCT